AGAACCCCTATTTGCTAGGTAATGGTAGAAATCCTTTGACTTTAAAGAGAGGAGGCCTCCTGCCCTGGCCATAATGTATGAATTGTAATTCACCTAAACCACGCATAGTAATTTCATTCTCCTATAATTGGTCATGTGACCCAATGAGATATGAGGGTAAGTTTGCTGAAGGTAGCACCCAGGAAAGCTTTTGCTTTCTGGGCAAAAAAGGACAAACTCAACTGGTAGGGTCCCTTTTGCCCCTCTGCCATTTTTTCTTTCCTATAATATTGACATTATGCATGGAAGTACTGCAGCAATCTTGGAACCATGAGGCACAAGGAAAAGAACAAAGAAGCGATCTATTAAACTATGGCTTAGCAGAAAGATAGCAAGAGCCTGGGACAGATGACAACTTTGAGTAGCAGACCAGCCTTGGTCTAACTGGTTATGTGAAACAGCTAAGCCCTCATTTGTTTATGTCACTGGAGCTGGGTTTCCTGTTATATATACTTAAATGCAGTCCTAATAGGTACATAGTGCATGCTCTCAAAAACGGTTAAAGGCTCGTTATATACACCTTTGCATCAGTCTTGATTCCAAATCTAGCACATGAGCAAATCCTGTCTGCTGTACCATCAAAAGTGTATCCCAGATTTCAACCATTTAGTACTTCCCCCCACCCCCACTGCCATTAACCTGGCTGAAGCCACCATCATCTCTCACTCATAATGCAGCGTTCTCTTAATGGGCCACCTGTGTCTACTCTTTTCTTCCTTCAGTCTTTTCTCAACACAGCAGCCAGAATGATTCCATTAAAATGTAAATCAGATGGTATCATTTCTCTCAAAAAGCTCTCCAATGGTGCCCCGTTACTCAGATTAGAAGCCAAGGTCCTTAAAATGGACTATGGGGCACCTACCTGATTGGGCTCCTCTCTGTTTTCTTCATTTGTTTTGTTTTGTGTGTGTGTTTGTTTGTTTTGGTTAGATACTTTCTATTGTTATCTTCGAGTTTGCTTGTTCTTTTGCAGGATCTAATCTATTGAGCTCACTCAGTGAATTTTTAAATTTTGAATCTCATATTTTTTAGCTTTTCTTCACTTTTTGTTTAATTTTTCATAATTTCTACTTCTGTCTTCATTATACTCATGTTTTCCTTTAAATCCTCGAACATACTTTTTTTTTTGAGATGAAGTCTCACTCTCTCGCCCAGGCTGGAGTGCAGTGGCGCGATCCTAACTTACTGCAACCTCTGCCTCCCAAGTTCAGGCAATTCTCCTGCCTCAGCCTCCTAAGTAGCTGGGACTACAGGCACCTGCCATCATGCCCAGCTAATTTTTGTATTTTTAGTAGAGACAGGGTTTTACCATGTTGCCCAGGATGGTCTTGAACTCCTGACCTCAAATGATTCACCTGCCTCGACCTCCCAAACTGCTGAGATTACAGGTGTGAGCCACCCTGCCTGGTTTTGAACATACTTATAATAGCTGCTTTAAAGCTCTTGTATATTAATATCTGTCATTTCTAGGTCTGTTTCTATTGATACATTTTTCTCCTGGTTATAAGTCACATTTTCTGTTTTTTGGTATATCTGGTGATTTTTTAATTGGATGCTTGACATTGTAAATGTTATGTTGTTGCTGAATGTTTAGTTTTTGTGGCCAGGCAGTTAATTTATTTGGAGATTGACATGAGCTTTTTATTTATTTATTTATTATTATTATTATTATTATTATTATTATTTTGGCAAGGTCTTATTCTTGGCTGGGCATGGTGGCTCACGCCTATAATACTAGCACTTTGAAAGACTGAGGTGGGTGGATCACTTGAGGTCTGGAGTTCAAGACCAGCCTGACCAATATGGTGAAACTCTGTCTCTACTAAAAATACAAAACTTAGCCAGGCGTGGTGGTGCATGCCTGTAATCCCAGCTACTTGGAAGGCTGAGGCAGGAGAACTGCACGAACCCAGGAGATGGAGGTTGCAGTGAGCCAAGATTGTGCCACTGCACTCCAGCCTGGGTGACAAAAGCAACGCTCCATCCCCTCAAAAAAAAAAAAAAAAAATTGAAATTCAAGTCATATTCTGTTGCCCAGGCTGGAGTGCGTGGTGTGTTCCATAGCCACAGTAGCCTCGACCTCTTGGGCACAAACAGTCCGCCTGCCTACCTCTCAAGTATCTGGAACTACAGGTGTAGCCACTATGCCCAGATGGAGATATTTAAAATTATTTTTTGTAAAGACAGAGTCTCTATGTTGCTGAGGCTGGTCACAGACTCCTGGCCTCAAGCAGTCCTCCCACCTTGGCCTCCCAAGGTGCTGGGATTATAAGCATGAGCCACTGTGCCCTGCTCAACTTGAACATTTTGAAGCTTATGTTTAAACTTTGTTAGAACAGGTCTAGAATCACCCTTACCATGGGGCTAGTGTAGCCCTTAACTAAAGTTTGACACTTCTGAGGTTTCTATTAAATTCCCAGCTGCTTAAGAAGGACTTTCCACTCTAGCCGGTCTTACCAAATGTCTGCCAGCCCACTGCAAGCTCTAGTGGTTGTTCAGCTTCCAGATCTCTGGTGGTGCTTATTTCCTTGGTAATTTTTATTGTTGTTGTTATTGTGGCCCATTCTCCTGCAATCTCACCCCTGTATGGGAGCTTTGTATTCAGCCATGGATCCGAGGGAACCCTGTGCAGATTTCTGAAGCTCTTTTTCTGTACTGCTTCCTTATCTCTGGCATTCTATTGTGAAGTTTCCAAGCCTCTCAGCCTCTTCAAACTCTGTTCTTTGTCTCAGTGGGACTTGCATGCTCTCCGTAGGGCCCCCTCCTTGTGTTGCAGTCTGCAGAAGGCACAAAGCTGGAGTTGCGGGAGGGCTCACCTCATTTGTTTTCACAGCCCTGCATTGCATGTTGCTCAATGTCTGAAAACAATCATTTTGTATATTTTATATCGTATTCTAGTTTATTGTGTGAGTTACTCAGTCGTGACTGGAGGAGGCCACAAATACTTATTAAATGTGTGAAGCATTTAACTTCCATGCTGGTTAGTAGGCTGTGAAGATGAGTTAGCGTGCATAGAGGAAGTAGAGGGACTGAAACTCAGGGTAGGTGGGTGGGGAGGAATTTACCCAAGACAAAGCTATTGTTAGACCTAGGAGGAGAAGGCTGGTGTTTTGCATCCTCGGGCTGTGCTTTCACACTCAAGCTACATCATCTATTCCCCGGTTTAGCTGCTCTGAGCACTGCCTCCTCCTCAGTTGTCTCCTCAGTTATGTCTTCCAGCACTTGGGATGCTGACTTCTTCAGCCAAGTCCCCTCGAAGCCCTCCCCATACCCACATTCAGATAAAGTGGAAAGAGGTTTTCCATCCCAAGTGTATCAGATCATTTGGAAAAACCAAGACCCACTAGCTCCATCGTGAGCCAGTGGACGAGTTTTCTGATTGTCCCTACTTTGACTCCTGCTTCCGATTTGCCCAAAGGCCCCCTCACCACCGTGCAGCCTGCAATATGAGACCATGTCTGTGAAACCGTGCCATGAGCAGCAACACGTAAGCAAACTGGATTCTTTAAACAACAATTGGAGCAATAAGCGTCTGCCTCGGTGTGCCAGGCCACAGAGGGCACAGGCAAAAGGCCTGTCTTCTCAAGAAGCACTGATTCTAGAGACTGGCTGCCCACCGTGGGGTTCAGTTCGCAGAAAACACCCTGCTGCCAGTGGCTTCAGGGTCTGCCTCAGACGCAGATAAGGCAAAGGATCTCTTTGCCCAAGGTCATGACATACCAGGGGAGCCCATAACTTGTGGCTGAATGAGGAGGGCGTATAAAGACCCAGGCATTTTAGTCTGAAGTGAGACAACTCTGATGGACGTCACTTGCTCTGGATCTCCCAGCTAGGTTGGCTGAAGCTTTGTCGGAGCTGCGTCCAAACTCAGCCTCTTCCTCTGCCCAATCTTGCTCCCTCTTTCCTTTCACAACTGATAATTCCTAATTAACAACTTGTGCCCACACTTCACACGTGCTTCCAGGGGGCCCAACCCGTGACACAGGGAATGACCATGGTCATGGGCTTTGGCATCTACTGTCCAGTCCAGTTTCCCTGCAGACAGGGAAAGGTCAGGTCAGGCAGGGGATGATGACTCCACAGAACCGTCACCCTGACACCACAGGCTTCAGCTTCTCAACACTTTTTATCTCCCTTCTTTATTTTTATTTTTATTTTTTATTTATTTATTTTTTTTAGATGGAGTCTTGCTCTGTTGCCCAGGCTGGAATGCAATGGCACAGTTTCAGCTCACTGCAATCTCTGCCTCCTGAGTTCAAGTGATTTTCTTGCCTCAGCCTCCTGAGTAGCTGAGATTACAGGCACCCTCTATGCCCAGTTAGTTTTTGTATTTTTAGTAGAGATGGGGTTTCACCATGTTGGCTATGCTGGTCTTGAACTCCTGACCTCAAGTGATCCACCCACCTCAGCCTCCCAAAGTGCTGGGATTACAGGCATGAGTCACTGCATGCGGCCAACCTCCCTTCTTTATCAATGTGACAGAAAGTTGAAATGAAGATGAATTACTGGGACATGAGATCAGATCATGTTTATTGAGTGTACACTCTGAGTCAGGTACTATGCTAAGTGCTTCACTTGCATTATCACATTTCATTCCCTCAAACAACCTCCCAGGGAGGTAATCTCATTATCCCCATTTTATAAAGCCCCTTGCCTTTGTCTTATGAGAGTTGGGGCAGGCCTGAGGGCAATGAGTGATGATCTCAGATGCCCTCCAGGCTCCTGGCCTGTCTTCTACAGCAGGAATCCCTGTGAGCAGCTTCATTCTCATTGCTGGCTCCTGCTTATCTCCTCTTTTTCCTCCTTCCTCCTCCAGTTCTCAGTTCTGCAGATCTGGCAGCACCTGCTCAGACCCCACCAGTACATCAGAGGCACTTTCAATGCCCATCCCCCACCCTCAAAAATAGGAAGAGGAGAAACTCTCAGACCACATCCTGCATTCTAGCAAAGTTCCCACCAGTGGTTCAATTCAGGCAAACATTTATGCGACATCTTCCAGCTCATAGCTAACCTAGCAACCACCAAAGCTGGGCTCCCAAGAGGTCATTCATTCACTCATCAGCAATGGACTACCAGTGATGGACCTGCTATGTGGAGGGGTGGAAACTGGAAGTGTACAGATGAGTGATTCATTCATTTATTCTTACACTTTTTCACCTAACAGTGACTTACTGAGGTCTTATTTTGTTTGAAGCACAGGTCCTAAAGATGTGGTGGGTAGTGAGAAAGAGTCTTGATCGCATGTTCCACTTGGTGGAAGAAATAGGATTTACAGTCCATTATCAAACAACTTTGTAACAGTCCAGTCATACGCACAGAAAGTCCAGAAGAATGTGCAAGAGATCTGTAGTCTGGGATGATGGATCATAACATCTCACACATAATGGGTCTCAGACAAGGTGAGTATTGAGGTGGCTGCTGCAGTTTGTTTTCTTCCTTCCTGGTTCTGCACTGGGCCCAGGTCTTTCTATTTAGACTCTCTGGGTGCCTCACAGACCCACTGCTGTCCCCAGGGAGCACGTGCCTCTCTCTGAACCTGCTACCTCTTCTCCCCCACGCCCCGTCCCAGCGGGCACTTGGCCTCTTTAAACCTCCCTCCAGCGTCCTCCCTTATTGATGGCCACACTGAGCAAGTATCCCAAGTGTCCCATGCTGAGATATGTTAAAAGAGCCAGCTTTTCCTCAGCCTTGAAGCACATTAACAGACGTCCCTTTCTGTTACACCAGTCTTAGGCCTGAATCCGGCCCCAGAAAGCAAGATGGGACGGCACCAAGCCTCAGGAATGCAAATGTGTTAGAGCAAACAAGAAAAAGCCACTTTGCTATATTTAGAACAGAGCATTTCTTCCTTCATTTTTATTTTCGTTTTTCCCTTTGATCTTCCCTGGTGTTCTCCCTCTGCATTCTCTGTTTTGGGTCATACTTATTTCTGCAGTGAACAAGATTATGACATCATCCCTCTCTCCTTACTCGTCCTTCCAACATTTCTGAGACAACTCCAGGGCCAAGAAGAGACTGAGAAGCTGGGGGAGGTAGGACCTTCCCAGGACACCAGTCTAGCGCCAACTAGGTGTTGAGCTGCCTACCAACAACCACCAGAGGGCACCCCTTCCCCATGCCTCTGCTGCGGAGGCTCCCTCGGGAGTCCAGGCTTGGGGTGGGTCAGAAGTGCTGCAGGCCGTGGACACAGGCTTGTATCTGGACAGTGACAGTGCCTCTGCCTCATCACTGACTAACAGAAGGCCACGTTTCATTGTTATTTCCTCCCTGTGGCAGAACTGGGTTCTGAATTTCTCCTCAAGCAAATCCCCAAAGCATACTTGTAACCTAACCTTGGGTTAATAAGTATAGTTTTTCCCACCTTTAGGGATTCAAGTTCCCCCTGGGGTTTGGAATGGAGATAGATCCTGCCTTCGCAGACCCCTGTAAATCAAGGGGAATCGAAAGTGGCATTTAAATCTGGCCTTACATGCCAAGAAATGGACATCTTCATGCTTCCACCCCGCTGGTGATCTCAGTTCCCATCATACCCCTACACTCTCATTAAGTCACACTTGTTCCCACGTCTGCCACAGAGTTACAGAGTCCAACTCTGAGACTTCACTAAAACTGGTCTCCTTGTGTGTTTCCTATTCTCCTCCTGGCAATGCCCAGATCCTCCTTCTAATCCCTTCTCGAAGCTTGCTTTCAGGACGAAGCCAGCCGGGTTCCTACCAGGGCAGTGTGGCCTTTCTATTCTCTGCAGTCCTCCATTCTTTCTGTCCCACTGTGGGGTTTGTGTTTAATTCTCTGCTCCTTTATCCTGCCTCTTACATATCTCTTTCCTAAGCTAGATGCAAAAACTGAAAATCAGATTGGCAGACATAAAAATATTTTTTAAATTATATAATGAAAACAATATAAACACAATAGGAAGTAAAAACTGAAAAAAAATACAATAATATGATAATGGATTAATTTATATAATACAGAGAATTCCTAAAAAGCCATACCAAAGAGATGGAGAATCCAATAGAAATGGCCAGGCAACTCAGAGAAGGAGAAAAAGTATTGGCCAATAAATGTATACATTAAAACGTTGTCCCACCTTTAGTTTTAACATAAATTAAAATAAGAAGGCATAATTTTAATATAAAAGATAGACTGATAATACCCATTATTTATTGTTTACTAGAATGGGGGTAATAAGCATGACCCATATGTATTTGGAAGGAGTACATGCTGAAGCACAGTTTGAAATGTAGTATAAAAATAGTAAATGGATGTATTTTATACAAAATCATCTCGTTGCAGAATTATCTGTGACTGTGAAATTTGGAAACAACTGAAATATCCATCAATGGGAGATATAGTCATTGAAAATCACATATAAATTGATATTCTCTATTTTGATGATGTGAAAGGATGCTTTGCCATAAATTGTTGAGGGTGGGGGAGAAGGAGAGAGAGAGAGTGTGTGTGTGTGTGTGTGTGTGTGTATGTGTGTGTCAAGAAAGAGGAGAGAGAGAGAGAGAAAGAGAGAGAGAGAAGGGAGTTAGGGATGATACATACCAAAATTGTTAACGGTAGTTTCTTTAGTTTCTTTAGAGAATGAATAGGTACTTTCATTTTCTGCTTTATATATTTTAATATCCTTAGGGTTTTGCTGCAATGTAAATTTGCTACAATTAAATTTTTTAAGTTTCTTTTTGAGACAGAGTTTCGCTCTTGTTGCCTAGGCTGGAGTGCAATGACGCAATCTCGGCTCACTGCAACCTCTGCCTCTTAGGTTCAAGCGATTCTCCTGTCTCAGCCTCCTGAGTAGCTGGGATTACAGGCATGTGCCACCATGCCTGGCTAATTTTTTGTATTTTTGGTAGATACAGGGTTTCTCCATATTGGTCAGGCTGCTCTCGAACTACCGACCTTAGGTGATCTGCCCGCCTCGGCCTCCCAAAGTGCTGGGATTACAGGCGTGAGCCCCCGTGGCCAGCCTAATTTTTTAAATTTCAAGTTTGAAGAAAAAAGGAATAATTTGTTTATATGTTTGTTTCCCCTACTAAACACATAAGTCATTAGAAAGCTGGAATCAAATTATATTTGGTTCATATTTGGTTTACTGTTTAAATTGTATTTTTACAGTGACTGACTAAGAGTAAACACTCCATTAATTTTTAAAATTAATTTTCTTTTATACATTTTAAGGGTGGATGCTTTATTTAGCACATACTTCATTCCCCATAATGTTATATTTTCCTGTATTTATACATTTGCCTCCCCAAGTAGAGTACAAGTTTCTTGAGGCAGATCAAATAGGGACTCTACAAGCTCTTACTAGTTCTTTACAAGGTATAGATTTTTCCGTAAGTGTTTGCTGTACTTGTTGGATGCTGAAGGACTGAAAGCCATTTTTCCTCCTTGGGCTCCAACTCCCCACCCCCCCTCCACATTATCTTCCTCTTCCACGGTGGGGTTTGAGTTTAGAACATAGCAATGTCTCTTGTGACTTTGAAAGATTAGGAGTCTAGTAAGGAATGTCTCCAAGTTAGGTTTTCAGTTGGAATGGGCACTGGAGCAGATGAAGACCTTGCTTAGGAGAGACTCCACGGCTTAAGCCTGGAAGGAAACTTGTTTAAGAAAAAAATCTGCAAATAATTGCCATGACCTTGACCATGAAAGTCAAAATCTGATTGACTAAGTTTTCTCTTTTAGTCCTGGGTTCATCATTTTCTAGAATTAAAATGTCAGGATAAAAAAGATACATCTCTGCATTCACCAACATAATAAGGCGTAATGTCAGGAAAGCAGAGATAAAACGTTAATGCCTTTCTTTACTGTACTCTGAGTGCCAATCTGATCATCTGATTGAAGTACAGAGATAGACGCCTGCAAAGCAATGCCAGCGAGAGTGAATGCACAGGCACACTTGTAAAATGCTACATTTACCTCCTTCAGCAGGGCAGGAAATACCTACCATAAGATGAAAAGATCACAGTTCAAACTAACAAAGAATGCCATGAGTGCTTGCTTTTTCTTTAGACGGAGTCTTGCTCTGTCACCCAGGCTGGACCATGAGTGCTTTCTCAAACCTCATTTTAAATTTGAAAGAAGAATGGATACATTGGTATGCATAAGAAGTTTAGTATGAACCCATACTATATTTTGTTATCAACAAAGAAACAAGAACAAAATTGGCACCCTCTCAGTAAGCTGAGCTGAGGTATTTTCACACTGAAGGTTCTGCAGGCTTCTGGAGCCCTTGAGAACTGAGTAGGTAGGTTCAGGCAGCTATAACAAAATACCACAGACTGGGTGGCTTAAACAACAAACATCTATTTCTCACAGTGTGAAGGTGGGGAAGTTTAAAACCAAGCTGCACACAGATGAGGTGTCTGGCGATGGTCCTCTTCCTGACCTGCTGAGAGCCGCCTACTCGCTGCATACTCACATGGAAAACAGAGATAATCTCTTTTGTGTCTAGTTTTGTAAGGGTACTAATCCCATTCATGAGGACTCTACCCTCATGATCTGATTACCCCAATGCCCTTTCTCCATAGACCATCACACTGGGACTTAGGGCTTCAACATGTACATTTTGGGTTGCACCGAGGAGCCAGTTATGAAAAAGGCCCTGGGAGATAGGCAGGGATAAGATGTGCAAGGCCCTGAGGATCTGAGCCTTTGAATCTGGAGTGCAAGTCCATTCTCACAGGTTAAGGCAAGATCCTGAACAAACATTTGTTGAGGTTTTTCTTTTTGAGTTTCACATAATTCTTTTTTTTTTTTTTTTGAGATAGAGTCTTGCTCTGTTGCCCAGGATGCACTGCGGTGGTGTGATCGCAGCTCACCATAACCCCACCCTCTGGGGCTCACTCAGGTGATCCTCCCACCTCAGCCTCCCAAGCAGCTGGGATTATCAACATGTGCCACTACGCCTGGCTAATTTTTCCTTCGCATACTTCTTGTACTTGCACAGCGGAGACAGACATAGACACCAATACATCATGATACAGTGTGAAGGAATGAAAGGAAATAGAATGCACTGTAGGCAGAGGTGCCAGCTAGTCTTGGCTCAGGGGGAAGTGGGAAGAGCTACAGAGAAGGTGTCATTGGAGGTGCCTGGTAAACAATAGCTGTTGTCGGGTGCGGTGGCTCGTGCCTGTAATCTCAGCACTTTAGGAGGCCAAGGCAAGAGGGTCACTTGAGCCCAGGAATTCAAGACCAGCCTGGGTAATGTAGTGAGACCCTATCTCCAAATTTTCTTTCTTTCTTTTTTTTTTTAATTAGCAAGGTGTAGTGGTGCATGCTTGTGGTTCCAGCTACTCTGGAGGCTAAGCTGGGAAGATCCTTTGAGACTGGGAGGTTGAGGCTGCAGTGAGCCATGATTGTGCCACTGCACTCCAGCTGGGGTGATAGAGCAAGAGCAAGACCCTGTTTCTAAAAAACAATAAGCAGGCCAGAGGTGGTGTGAGCACAGAGAGAGGTGGGGGCAAGAAGAAAACTAGGATGATGAGGAAGGAGATTCAGGGCTGAGGGTGATACCAGGAGGCAGAGCCTGAGTATCACCTCCTTCCCTTCTCCAGGACCAGGTCCCTTTTAGGTGAAACTAGATGAAAAGGACTCTTCAGCAGCTGTCTTCACAGCAACTAATTTCTGGCAGGTCAGAGTTGGCATTGCTCAAATCTGGGCTTCGTTTCCGAGAAGTTTCACAAGTCTGCCAGGGGAAGTACCTGGACTTCTTGCTGCTTTCATGTAGGGCAGGCTGTCGAAACCTCAGTGGATAAAAGACCTAGAGAATGTGCATCCCAGAAGAAGCTGGTCGAGGATATGGGAGCAATCACCATGGAACAGAAGTCTCTCTGGGCAGGTGAGCATCGGGTTGATAATTCAGCAGGAAACTTGTTGAGGAAGAAAGAGGTAACAGGTCTGTAGAAGAAGTGATCTTCCTCCTTTCATGGGATTTCAGTCTTTCTGTTGACCTTAGTGTCAAAAAATTTCAGGCCAATGCAACTGTCGTAGGGGAACGACCTGATCTTTCCTGAATGGGCAAGAAGGCAGCAGTAGCTGGAGCTCTTTGCACTGGCAGGATGTTCTCAGTTTGCACAGAGGTGCTTCTTGTCCACATTAGAACTGGAGCTAAGACAGGAAAGAGGCCAAGTTTTCTTAGTCTCTTAGTGTATGAGCGTCGTATTGGGAGTCACATCTTTCATGGGTCACAACTTTTGGAGAGCTTCACATTTCTCATCTGCAGAATGATTTATTGAATTAAATGTTTTCTGAACTCTCCCTTTCAACTCTAAAGTTCTGATCCAAAACTCTGGCTTTTGTGATGGCCGGGAATTGGGATGAGAGTGGGGATGAGGCTAAACAGGGCTATGAGTGAACGAGGGACGTTTACCAGGAGGCGAAGGGAGGGTAGGGAATATGTCTGCTGGAGGAAAGAAATCATTTCTTTGTGTCCATACCTCTTTCACCTTGTCTTACCCTCTCAAGCCATGAAGCACCCACTTGGCAAGAGCCTTTTGGGTTCCCTGTTGAACTCAGCTTAGCCCTGGGCCCACCCTTGACAGGGTAGACAGTAGGGAGGCCACACTTTGGAGAAGGGCCTGGAGGCTGACCTGACAGTGGATGTGCCAAACAGAATTTCTCTGACCATTTACATAGTGAGTGTGTGGAGAGCCAGGGCCTAACTTCCCTGCCTAAAAAAACATGTGAATCATCAGGAGAGAACAGTAGAGCCCTGTTTTCCAGCCCTAAGCTCTGCAGGGGAGGAATCAGCTCCAGCAGCTGTGTCATTGAAAGTTTTCTCTCCTTTTTGGCTGCCCCTTTCCTTCACTTTCGGACCTCTAGGGGTTTCGGAGTGGACAATATCCCCAGGCTGGGGGAATTGCAGTTCCAGAAATCTTGTCCATGGGACAAAGTTTCTAGGATCCAGGGGTCTACTCTTTCTTTCCTTTAGGAGGATGTGTTAAGTATAGAATAATCTCACCAGTCTTCCAAGGGTAGATGTCCTATGGAGAAGAGACTGGGCATAATCTCAAACATGTAAGTTTAAAGCACCACCAGGACCAGCTCACACTGCTTACCTTGTTGTAAGAATTAATTGTTTTTACATAGGGTGACCATCTCATTTTGCCTGAAAGAGTTCTGGTTAAGTTATTGTCCTAGGGAAATTATTAATAATGCTCCTTTTCACTCTTTGAAGGGTCTCATTGGGCAATAAACTATATGGTTACCCTACCTTTATTCAGCTCCAGACTAGACTGTGAGCTCCTTGAGTGCAGGGAAGGCATTAACTGCATTGTAATTTCCCCAGTGCAATACTTAGCACAGAGCATAAGATTCAATAGAACTTTGTTGGATAAATGAATGAAAAAATAAATTCCCAGCTTGGAAAATGTTTCTGCCTAGGAATGTAGAGACACAAGGCACCCCAGGGCTGGGGAACCTCAAGGTCCTGTAAAACCACAACAGCCGTGGCTGGGGAGCCCAGATGAAGTGTGGCTCTATCTTGTATGTGAGCACACCCACATTTTCACGGCCATTATCTGGTACAGCAGAACCAGGTTTGGCTCAACAGATTTCTCTTTCCACCCATCTATTGCAGGTGTAGTGGTCTTGCTGCTTCTCCAGGGAGGTAAGTAGTCAGTCACCACCGCCTGGATCTCCTGGCTTGGTTGGGTGCTTTCATTTTTGATGTCCAGTTTCTTTTTCTGCTACATGCTTTTTCTCTTGGTTACGCTCTCCGGTTCTGCCACTGACATATTTATGACAGAGTTTTTGTTCTCTGTATCATTTTGTGTATCCCTTCTTCTAGTTCTTTTTGAGCCACTCTCTCTTTCACCCCTCCCCCATACCTGGCCTCAATATGTGTGTGTGTGTGTGTGTGTGTGTGAATACAAACATACACAATGTTTGTATTATCTGTTTCTCTACTGATCTGTGTCATCCATCCATCCATACACACTGAATCTTAGTGCTCCATGGGTGTTTCATATGTTGATGGTATTTCTGTCTCTCAATGTATTTTATTTTTTTAAATTTTTTTGAGACAGGGTCTTACTGTGTGGTCCAGGCTGGAGTGCAGTGGTGTGACCATGGCTCACTGCAGCCTGGACCTCCTAGACTCAAGCAATCCTCCAACCTCAGCCTCCTGAGTAGCTGAGACTACAGGCATGTACCACTACACCCGGCTAATTTTAAAATTTTTTGTAGAGATGGGATTTCTCTATGCTGCCAGGGCTGGTCTTAAACTCCTGGGCTCAAGCAATCCTCCTGCCTCAGCCTCCCAAAATACTGGGAAAAGAGGTGTGAGCCACTGTGCCCAGCCTCAGTGTATTTCTTAACTGGGGTCTGGGTACTCAAGAGCCAGCACTAAAGGCCCAGGCTGAATGGCCCTCAGAGGCTCTGGCAGAATGAGCAAATGATACAATGGCTGTCTTGGGGAGAAAGTTGTGGCTTTCTGGGCTCTAAGGCAATAGCACTAGAGTCTCATTGGCTCTCTTCACTCCACTCCAGGATCTGCCTACAAACTGGTTTGCTACTTTACCAACTGGTCCCAGGACCGGCAGGAACCAGGAAAATTCACCCCTGAGAATGTTGACCCCTTCCTATGCTCTCACCTCATCTACTCATTCGCCAGCATCGAGAACAACAAGGTTATCATCAAGGACAAGAATGAAGTGATGCTCTACCAGACCATCAACAGTCTCAAAAACAAGTCAGTAAGATGAGGGTAGAAGCATCCGGCATGGATTTTAGAGGAGGGAAGCTGGTTTTAAGCTGGGCCTAAGACCTACCGTCTCATTCATTCATTCATTCATTCATTCATTCATTCCTGTGTATTTCTCTGGGTGTATTTCTGATCCTAACTGTTCTCACCACTGCTTCATCCCTTCACTGAACTTCACTTTGGTTCAAACAGCCAGGCCCTAATTGTCCATATTCTCTACACTTAAGAACTCTGTTCTTTAGACAAAGGCTTCCCTGGCAGCCAGAAAATAAATAATCATCTTATTCTTCTGCTTCAGGAATCCCAAACTGAAAATTCTCTTGTCCATTGGAGGGTACCTGTTTGGTTCCAAAGGGTAAGACTACATCTTTATTTTTTGTTCATTTCCCGATGTAATTTTTGATCATCACCACTTTTCTTCCTCCTGAGAAGAGATATTAAACTAGGCTTTAAGAGGTCTTCCCTTGGCCAGCTGCAAAACTGATCTGAGTTTTGTCACAAGAAGAGGTGCAGCACTAGATTTCCTGGGGTGTTTGAAGGAATTCTTCTGGAGCTTAATACAAGCCCAGACACTCAAGGCTTGAAAGTGGGCCATGAACAATACTCAGAAAATTCTTAATTATTTGCATGAATGTTTTTCCCTTTATGGATTATAGAGATAGTTTTAATTGGAAAGTGCAAATTATTTTAAATTACTTGAGAGTTTGACTTTGCACCCTGGGATGGTTTGGATGGGCTGCTTCTGCTTAGAAGCCCCGCCTTGGACCATGGCAGTCAGTGGACTACCATGTCTGGGATCATGGCTCTGCAGCCAAATGGCCTGAGCACCATCAGAGCAGCAGAGGAGACAATCGGTTCTGCTTTGCTTAAAATCAAAATAACCATTGATACAAAGCACACATTCGAAGTAATATTTTCTACTCACATGAAAATGATATCCCACTCACATCACGAGCTAAATGAAAATACGTAAGGATAAATATCACATTTTTTCAATCTTCAACTACAGTTTATATAATTTTGAATTTCTTCTGCTTTATTATTTAAAGTGTTAACATCTTAAAAAGTCCAGAGATCTTAAACTCGGCTAGGAGAGTCTTGGAGTTTTTACAGAAGTCTGATAGTACAACTTGTGAAACCTGTCAGTACTGTTACAGCCAGAGTAGGCAGAGAGAAGAAGTAGTGTTAGAAGACCTATGGAGATTTCTGCACACGGAAAGAAGGAAGAAAGATCAGGCTACCTAACTTTTTTGTTCTGTGTTAACCCCTCCATGAACACCCTTCAATATGAATGGGCTTCCATGGCACCCATCCTTCTAATTCTCAAATTCTCTTCCTTTCCTAATACTTGCTTAGGTGTTGATGCAAATAAAAATGTCTTCATTCATTCATTCTTGCATTCATTCATTCATTCAGTAAATAATTGCTTACCAGTTTAGTGGTTAAAAGTAGAACTTTGGAGATAGATATATTTGGTTTGGATTTCCCTTTAGACGCATGTAAGCTGTGTGACTTCTGTCAAGTTCTTTAATGTCTGCATGCCGCAGTTTTCTTTAACTATACAATAAGAATAATAACAGAATTTACCTCAGGGTGATACAGAGGCAGGCAATGCAAGCTGCGTAGCATAGTGCCCATGTGCAATAAGGGCTCAATGGTTGCGGTAATCATTATTATATGATTATTGTTGTTGTTATTATTAGGTAAATGCCAGACTTTGTGCCAGGTGCTGTGCAGAATAATTACATATGTGTAACACACAAACTTGCTTCTAAGGAACAAATTAGTAAATTTCTATTGAATGGGCATGTCTCCTAAAATTGCAGGCATTTTCCCAGAGGCTCAGGTGCAATGGCTTTCTAATTATTGTAAGCACTTTCAAATGCAAGAGAAAAGCTAGAAACCTTTTTCCACCACTGTTTCCTGATGCCAGGCCAGTTTCTTGCTATCTCTTCCACTTTGAAGATGAGATACATGCAGGAATCAAAATCTCAATTTAATATTGAATAAAACAAAATTAATTCAAGGCTCTAAGAAAGCCTGGGGGTGGGAGGTATTGTAAGAGGTGAAAAGTGACACAACTTAAAGGTTATGTCCCCAGGAAAATACCAGTATCTCATCTACAGCCTTGGGTTTTAAATGCTCTTGGTGCCCTTGGTGTGGGCATCTGAGAATCAATTTCATGGCTTCAGAATTCTAGTTCAGATGAAGCCCTTGAGGAGCTGCTGATTTCAAGTCCTGTTTTCATCAGAAATCCTGGGAGTGGGGAGATCTGCATTGCCTATTTGTGGCTGGGATGCTTGTTTGGGGACCATGAATTCACTGGAGTCCAGTCCTTTTTCTTGGAACTTCCCTAAATGTTATCCCCTTGAGGCACATGAAGCAGGATTAATACCCTCAGTCTCAATTTAGAGGTGGCCAGACTGGAACCCTGAGAGCGGGTTAATGACAAAGTGGCCATCAGAAAAGACTGTGACCTGGGACTTCAATCTAGCTCTCCTGATCCTAAGCCCACCACATTGCAAACTGCTTTTCCAAGGGTGTAAAGTGTTGAAGAAAACCAAAGCTGGACAGCATTTAAGCAGTAAAACAGATTTTATTCAGGAAATATTGCAATGGGGGGGAAAGACCTCAGTATGGTACTGGGTTCTATTCCAAAGGCAGCAAAGGCAAGTGAGGAAATACAGCCAAAGAGCACACTGGGGGAAATCAGTGGATGGAAAATCATAAAGAGGAAACATCAGGGCTAGGGGGATTCTTGCTAAATTGATTCAACAGGATTCCTGTCCTACCAAAGGATGCCAGAGTGATGAGATATCACCTGGGGGATGGCATGGGTTGAGTGATCAGGTACCAGGGGTGGGGGTTTCTCACTAAACTGACCTAGCAGGACTTTTGCTAGAATCAGACATGGCAAAGACAGACACAGAAGCCCAAGGTTGAGGTCCAGTTGAGAAGAGGGCTCAGAGAAGCCTACCTAAAGTTTGGTCAAGGCAAGAGTCTTTGTCAAAGGCAGCTCCGTTACCCTCAGGAAGATCTGCAGAGAACCCAGTCTTCCTTTACCTGGCCGGATCAACATTCTGGCCCAACAATCCTTCTTCTCTCATCTGTTCCAAAAAGCAAAAGCATTAGAATAGACAAATTGTACGTGGGATTTCTGTGAAAAATGTGTTACACTACAGATGTTACTTGTTCTTTCCAAAAAGACACTTGTATTGCTTCTTTCCAGGTTCCACCCCATGGTGGAGTCTTCTACATCACGCTTGGAATTCGTTAACTCTGTAATCCTGTTTCTGAGGAACCATAACTTTGATGGACTGGATGTAAGCTGGATCTACCCAGATCAGAAAGAAAACACTCATTTCACTCTGCTGATTCATGTAAGTCAGATGCCATGGTGTACTCAGTACTCTGACCTCCAGAATCCACAGCCACATTGGGAGACATAAGGAAGAGATTGAGTGTGGTGGGAAGACACAACCCCAGGCTTTCTGAAGCCCCCACTGATGACAGAAAAGCCCCTGTTCCTATTTTAAGGCAGGAACAATATGAAACAATGGAGCCCCCTTGTATGTTTATTTTGATGTTCTTCTTTTTGATGAAGAACATCAAAATAAAGCAACATCCATATAAAAGAGTGTGTAGCCATAGGATTTCCTGGGTACTGAGGTAGCCTCATAGAAGATCTATCAGATAGATCTGAAAATCTGTCAGGTAGAAACCAAGATGATTATTTCCTGGGTACAGTGAGGTTGGGGTCCTCCTGCCTAATGTGGAAACTTCCTGAGCCGATACAGGCACAAGGCATCCCCATATGGGATGGAGAGGAAACGGTTGATCTTTTCCATCTAATGTGGTTCTAAACCTCATAGATCCCAGGCAAGAAGCTTAGCGCCGTACTCGGGGAAGGGGAATCTAACACCTTGTTTCCTTGTTTTTCCTAGGAGTTAGCAGAAGCCTTTCAGAAGGACTTCACAAAATCCACCAAGGAAAGGCTTCTCTTGACTGCAAGTGTATCTGCTGGGAGGCAAATGATTGATAACAGCTATCAAGTTGAGAAACTGGCAAAGTGAGTACATCAGAGCAACTTTCCATCCCTCTGCTTCCAATTTGGTCCATGCAAATGATGCATCGCATGTTTGAGGGATGAGGGGAGAAGGAGGAGAGGGAAGATCACTGTCCTAACCCTGCGTCATGCAGCCAGGAACAACTTTACAGAGACTTTCAATCCTTCTAGCAGCATCATTCAAAGCCAAAACAATTACTTAACAATTGTTTCTACCACTGCTCATCACAAAATCTCTCCCTTTGCTTTTGGCACTTTAGAGATCTGGATTTCATCAACCTCCTATCATTTGACTTCCATGGGTCTTGGGAAAAGCCCCTTATCACTGGCCACAACAGCCCTCTGAGCAAGGGGTGGCAGGACAGAGGGCCAAGCTCCTACTACAATGTGGTGAGTAGGCCAGTGGAACTGCAGGGGTACTGGCTGTGGGAGTGGGGCCGGGGAGAGTCCAGCATGTCTAGAGTTACTTCTGTCTTGAACTGAGGAAGAGCTATGAGCCCAAGAGGGAACTTGGTAGCCCCAAGAGCAAGTGAGTGCAGGAGAAGTGCTTTGACCAGGCACCAAAAAAAATGTCATCTGGAAAATGTCAGAAGTGCTGATAGCTGAAGTGCCCTAAGCCCCGTCTCTGGCTCAGAGTGTCCCCCATCCCAGTCTTCTCTGGATTCTCCATCTTTGATACATTTCTTGGCATCTACACAGGTGAACAGAGCTTGTACCTTCCTGTGTCCGTCTACATTCCCTATTTAATTCTGTTTTTAAAACAACTCCATGAGGTCAGCTGGGTAGGAAGTGTTACTCCCACTTCACAGATGATGAAACAGAAATTCGTCAGATTCCATTGACTCTTCAAGGTCGTGTGATGTGAAGGTCCTGGTGGTGGGAAATGAAAAGTAAAAAAAAAAGATAGTAATGTAATAATGTTGTTGATGCTGTTCTGGAACATAACGTATCCAGCCAATGAGTTTTCCTTGCTCACTGATTTATCAAGATAGGGGAATTGCAATAGAGAAAGAGTTTAAGTCATGCAGAATCGGCTGTATGGGAGACTGAAATTTTATTATTACTCAAATCAGTCTCCCTGGAAATTCAGGGATCAGGGTTTTTGAGGATAATTTTGTGGATGGGGGGTCAGAAAGTGGGGAGTGCTGATTGGTCAGGTTGAAGATGAAATCATAAGGGTTCAAAGTGGGTTTTTCTTGCTGTCTTTTGTTGTTGGTTGGGATCACAGAACTGGTTGAGCTAGATTCCTGGGTCTGGGGGTGTCAGCTGGTGCATCAGAATGCAAGATCTGCAAAATATCTCAAGCACTGATCTGAGGTTTTGCAACAGTGATGCTATTCCCAGCTGCAATTTGGTGAGGCTTGGAATCTTGCAGCCTTTGGCCGCATGACTCCTAAACCATAACTTCTAATCTCATGGCTAATTTGTTAGTTCTACAAAAGCAGACTGGTGTCTAGGCAAGAAGAGAGTTTGCTTCCAAAAAGGGCTGTTAATCATCTTTGTTTGAAAGCTAAACTATAGACTCAATTCCTCTCAAATTGAGTTGGCTTACACCCAGGAATGAACAAGGACAGCTTGGAGGTTAGAAGCAACATGGAGTCAGTTAGCTCAGATCTCTTTCACTGTCACAGTTTTCTCAGTTACAATTTTTGCAAAGGCTGTTTCATATATATGGATGTATATTCCTAAAATTCTGGGAGAAAAAAATATCTGTGTTGCATGTTTCCAGGCCTTCATATTCAAAGTTACAAAATGGATCAGTCCAGAGCTAGATATGATTTCTGGTTGGGGTTTTCTAGGCCTTCACATGGCTAAGTCACATCAGCCTCCTTCACTCCTTCCTCTCTGTCAGTTATCTTTAAGGATGAGGAAACTATCTTTGTCTTCTCTAACCCTTTATTTTGTTCTGAGAGCAGGAAAGCCAAAATTAACCTCTTACCTCCCAATCTATCTGTAAACCAAAATTAAATTCTAAGCCCCCCAAACATCTGAACAAATCCCTCCTCTTGGCCAAGGGCATTCAAAGTTAATCTGAAAAATTAATTCAGGTCATGATGGGAAGTTGGGTGTCAGACATGCTTCGCAGCTGACCAGCACTAACATCAACACAGAGACCTTAAGACTGATAGAGCAGACTTTCTAAGTCTGATGAGAGACATTTACAATCTAATCTTTCGGAAGCCTGCTACCTGGAGGCTTTATCTGCATGATAAAACCTTGGTCTCTATACCACTTATCATAACCCAGACATTCCTATCTATTGACTCCAGGCCTTTAGATAATAACTCTTTCAACCAATTGCTAATCAAAAGATCTTTGAATTCACCTATGACCTGGAAGCTGCAGCTTCTAGTTGTCCTGCATTTCTGGAGTGAACCAATGTACATCTTACATATATTTATTGATGTCTTATGTTTTCCTTAAATGTATGAAATCAAGCTGTAACCTGACCACTGTGGGCACATATCCTCGGGATCTCCTGAGAGCTGTGTCATGGGCCATTCATCACTCATATTTGGCTTGGAATAAATCTCTTCCAATATTTTACAGAGTTTGACTCTTTACATTGACATATCCCACTGGGTTCAAGGTCATTGTGAGGCCTCATGGACCAGGAATCTGACAGCCACCTTTGTCAGTATTCACAATGAGCCGTTGTGTAGACAAATCCCATAGGGATTTTGTGTTGACTCAAAAGGGAAAGGAAGATGGTGACAACCTTGATTTCATGTTTTCTAGGTTTCTTGACTGATTTCTTTTGTGATCCACCGTCTAGTTCCTTTCAGAAATTAGAAAAAGCTGTATAAGCCTCTTGCTGCTGAAGAGCATATGTGCGTTAAAACAAGCACTCTTGTCCTGGGGAGGTCTGGTCTTTTCACACTCAGATGTAGAAAAGAAACCAAGCAGTCACCTCTGTGAAGTTCGGAATAGAGGCTAAAAAAGGCCTGACACCTTTCTTTCCCCACTCTGAGCCTCCATCTCTCTTCCCATTCTAGGAATATGCTGTGGGGTACTGGATACACAAGGGAATGCCCTCAGAGAAGGTGGTCATGGGCATCCCCACATATGGGCACTCCTTCACACTGGCCTCTGCAGAAACCACCGTGGGGGCCCCTGCCTCTGGCCCTGGAGCTGCTGGACCCATCACAGAGTCTTCAGGCTTCCTGGCCTATTATGAGGTACCTGGAAACCACCTGTACCCTCAGCTCCCTACCGTGTCTGGGTAGATATTCCAGCTTCAATCTGACAGCACAGTAAAGCATTCTGAGTGTTGTGAAGGGGAAAGTTCACAGAACTACTGAACATGTGAAGGGAGCTCCCAACTCTGGTTTGGGAGAGGGTCAGGGAATGCTTCCTGGAGGAAGTGAAATAAGCTGAACTCTGAAGATGAGATGGAGCTAGCCAGGAATGGGGATAGGTAGAGGAGGATGTGAGAAATTGAAAAAGGAAGACTACCCCAAGTTCTTGATTTGAGCAGCTAAGTGGATGGCAATGCCATTTACAGGAGATAGGGAAGACTGGAGGGAGAACAGAGTGGACATTGGTCCTGCTCATGAGATCAGTTTTGGACGTTCTGAGTGTGAGGAGCCTGTGGGACATATAGATAACAAGTGAGTCGTTGAATATATGGGTTTGGATCACAGCAGACCAGTCTGCACTAGAGAAGTAGATTCAAAAATATCAGCATAAAGGTGGTACCTGAAGCCAAACCATACAATGAGAAGTGCATGAGGCCCAAGACAAACCCAAGAACCTCCTACACCTGAGGGATGTGCAGAGGAAAGGGAACATATTAAGGTAACTGACAAGGAACTACAAGAGGGTTAGGAGGAACCCACACAGATCTGTGCCAAAGACCTTAGAGAAGTCGGTGTTTCAAAAAGGAGGGAGTGGTCAAATGTGTCCAATTCTGTGCGGAAGTCAGATAGATCATAGGGATAACAAAATTGTTCAGTTAATTATACCATCATTTCTCTCTGCCCTCCAATCTGGGAAAATTTATTTAAAAAGCACAGGGGAAGATATAAATCTAACATTAGGTCAACCAACAGAAACTCTTTGGACGCTCTCATATCCCAAACACTGGGTACTGTGAGAGCTAGAAATAAGTAATTATCCATCCTTGTCTCTAAAGGGGTTATAGTCAAGGTGAAAAGAATGTAGAATACAGACATAACTAGTTAAACAAGAGTTCAAAAACAAGACAACTGTAATATTTAATAAAATCAGAGAGGTATTATAAAACAATATGGGATTCAATGACCAATGAATGGTATAGAGTGACATGAGATCAGAGATGTGTGACTGGGGAAGGCTCCACGGAAGAGGAGAAGTTTATGCTGGGCCTTGAAGGATGAGTAGAAATTTGATCAGGTAGAGAAAAAATATATCATTCTATATCCTGGTCTATCTTTGGAGTCCCAGCCTGACCTCTCATTGTGAATGTGGACATGCCATAGGCCCATGCTGAATGACTTGGCACCCACCAAGGTACCCATTCAGTGTAATGCTCAATTTTTCCTTTCTCCTTACACATAGGAATGATTGACATATCATCAATTCAACAGGCAACAGGAATGGGACATGGGTCATCGTGAGAGTCCTCAATGAATCTCAGGGTGCCTGATAGATAGGAGGTGGGAGAGAGGCTGACCCATCCTTGGGTAGTTCTAGGTAGATAGCAATAACACTCTTAATTTAAGGGAGAAGAGAGGTCATTGCTCAGAATCTACTGGTAGGGTTATAATATCAACCACTAGATATGCACTTCCCATCTCATGGAAAGTTTGATTTGATTGTTCAGTTCATAATGACTCTAGGCCACTATAACTTTGACAGGTTGATATTTGCTTAAATATTCAACTTTCATTTTCTGCCCTCATTGTAGTAAGTGTGAATGTAGTTCATCCAAAAAGAGTAATCCAAAAGGGATTTTCTATGTGATGTTGAAATGCATTTTTTAATTGAAGATTTATCTTTTTTAGAGCTCTTCCTTATGCTAACAGAAAGAATGTAGCTAATAACAGAATGGGAGCCCCAGGACAGGGCATATTGGGAATGGGAGGGGACAGAGGGGGAGTAATGAGATTTAAGTGGAGATGCTACAAGATGAGGAATAGTAGTGATGGTCAGGATAATACTTCACATTTGTAAAGCACTTTACTGTTTTCAAAAATTTTTTTAATGTGTATTAGTTCATTTGATCCTAACAACAACACTGGAAGGTAGATATGTTGAAAGCATTATTATAATTATTTCCATTTTGCAAATGAAGAAATTGGAAGATTTATTGGTCGGTGCTGGGATCTGATCTGGAACTCAAGTATTTTCTGATTTTTAGCTGCTGTATCTCCTCCTGATGAGACTTTAGCACAGACACTTCCCAGTGGTTCACCTTGGACCACCCACTTCGTATGATATATGTGGTCATTCCTCTCATTGTCTGATCCTTGGGATAAAGGTTCTGACATTTTCCCCAAGCCCCTAGTGGCTCACTGTCCTGTCTACCCCCACCAAGTTTCAAGAATAACCCATTACTGACCCTCTCGTTTCCCTTTCCTCTGCTAGATCTGCCAGTTTCTGAAAGGAGCCAAGATCACAAGGCTCCAGGATCAGCAGGTTCCCTACGCAGTCAAGGGGAACCAGTGGGTGGGCTATGACGATGTGGAGAGTATGGAGACCAAGGTAGGTGGGCAACAGGATCTGGAATAGGCAGATGCTCCTTTAGGTGGGGAATGGGGATATGTAGTAAAATGCCTGAATACTCTTATGTTGAAAGAGAGAAGCTTCTGAGGCCCCAGACTCTAGGATGGGACTCAGCAGTCTCTATAGGTCAGGTTTAGTAGTGACTCTATGTCATACCTATGAGCAGCTGTGGTACAGGTAGATGAGTTGGAAAGGACACAAAAAAGAGTTGAGAACAAGTAAGTTTATTGTGATAAGTGAGGAGTGGAGAGAAGAGAAAGGCAAGAAGAAGGGAGAGGGAATAAAGGAGACATTGGTGCCTGTATAGGTAATCTACTTTGTTAATTATCTCAGGACAAACTGTTTAGTCCTTCTCATAGATTACCTAGCTAGGAGGCTCCAGATTCCTGAGCCTACCAGTTCTTAGACCTTGGTAAGACATTTGCATTCCTTTCAGGGTTACGGCAAAAAGGAGGCTTGAGTGTAATTGACAATCCTGGCCACTTGTCTTGTTAAGGGCTTCCTAGTTTCTTCCCTTATTATGGAGAGTTTTCTCAGCCTCCAAAAATGCCAGACTTTGAGTGTGGTGACTCAAGTCAGAATGAGAGGTGGCTAATGCTGACTTGGTGGCTCTCTCTCCCTCAGCAATCTTACCCCTCAGGGAGTCTCTAACTCCAGAAAACCAGTTAGTCTACCGCTGTATTCTAAGCTGAGAACCTCATCTGAACCTGATATGGTCCTGGACATTTAGGGGTCACTTCTAATCTCTATGTGTCCTGTGCCTCCCTTAGGTTCGGTTCTTAAAGAATTTAAACCTGGGAGGAGCCATGATCTGGTCTATTGACATGGATGACTTCACTGGCAAATCCTGCAACCAGGGCCCTTACCCTCTTGTCCAAGCAGTCAAGAGAAGCCTTGGCTCCCTGTGAAGGTAACAGTCCAGGCTGGAGCTGGGAGTGGGCAGAGAGATGGGCAGAACAGGGCACAGGAGACTGGGGGAGATCATCTTCACATATTTGGGCTAATCCTTTCTCATGCTCCTTTGGCTCTTCTGCAATGTTTTCTTAGTGATTAGGCTGGTTCTGCCCTTTTCATAGGTTTCTTATAGACTTTTAAAGTGATAATAATAATATTAATAAATTTTGGCTACCATTTATTGAGCATAGTATGAGCTAAGGACTTTCGTTACATATATATTAGGGATAAATATTGACTCCACCACAATTCTTGGTTACAAAATCATCAGCCTGTCTTAATTTTCTAAATCACAATAAATCTGACTCTGTGCCCTCAATTCACTTGACTGATGACAATTTCCATCTCAGTCACTACCTGATGCTCTTTTTCCCCACCCACAGTTGATCTTACTTAGTCTAGACATTTGTGAGCTCCCATGGTCATTATTGATACGCCTTTACCCAAGTCTCCCTATTACCTTGAAGGTCGGTGGCTTTGCTGCTGCTCCATCCCTGGGCCCCCAGTTCCCTAGGTGCGTTGTATATCCTCCTGTGCAGATGAAGGCTGTTGCTGACCAACCAGTTATGCTGTGATACATTGGTTCTAGGGCAGAGGGTGGAGTAGCAGGGCGCTGGGGCTCACTGCAGATGGACAACTAAAAAGGACTGGCTCTACTATCCTGGCAAAGGGCGTAGAACCATTTGAAAACTCCTGATTAGATAATTGGGTAGCAGCCTTCCAATTCTGAGCATCCATTGTTTAGTAACTTGATTTAGGCCTCAGTTTACTGAGTTGGGCTTTGAAATATTTTTCCTTTTGTTTCCAGGATTAACTTACAGAGAAGCAGGCAAGGTGACCTTGCTGCCTGCGGCCTGCTCTCTCCCAGGAATTCTAATGTGGGATTCCCCTTGCCAGGCTGGCCTTTGGATCTCTTCCAAGCCTTTCCTGACTTCCTCTTAAATCATGGATTGGACCTGGTTTTGTTTTCCTGCAGCTGTTGACTTGTTGCCCTGAAGTACAATTAAAAAAAAATTCATTTTGCTCCAGTAAGTATGGCCTCATTTGTTCAGTCCTTGACCCTGTGATATCAGGTTGTTCTGTTCCTCCTATTTGTGGGGTCCAGAGCTAAGGTGAAAACGAAAGTTTGCATATCATGTTTAAATATTAAAAACAGCTAACGTGCTGTTAAAATATGACTTATACTCCAACATTAACACATACAACTTTGCAACCACTTGAAAGATCAGAACTTGAAAATTTAAAATTCTCAGACTCCTTGGAATTCCACATGAGACTTCCCATCTTTGCCTCTCTCACAGCAGAAGCCTCATGGGCATACTTGTGGACACTGTAGGCTTTGCATCCAAACTTCATCTGCACTCTACCCTCTACCCTCAACCTCCAACACACACACACACACACACACACACACACACACACACCCCTCTGGGCTATGCATGTGCACACAAGCATTGTAGTCCACTCTCAGTGAAGATGGGCCCAGGGAAAAGTCATGTGCAGTCCCTGAGAGAGCGCATAGGCTCTTCTGGCTATTTGGGTAGAAATGCTGGATATCTGGATCATGATTTAGAAGAGAAGGTATGTGAGCTTTAGGTGAATGTGCTCCTAGCCTGGCAGTCTCCTTACCTTGTGGGGAGGGGTGCAACTGGAAGAGGGCCCAAGTGGGACCCTCCAAAGGAGGGTCAGAAAACTATGGCCCATGGATCAAACCTAGCCCACTGCCTGTTTTTGAAAGTAAAACGTTATTGGAAGACAGCCACACCCAGTTGGTTTACATATTGTCTGTGGCTACCTTCTCCCAACAATGGCAGAGTTGAGAAGCATGACAGAGATGGTATGGCCTGCAAAGCCTAAACTATTTACTCTCTGGCCCTTTACAGAAAAGTTTGCCAACTCCTTTTCTAAAGCATGGTGCCCACAGCACCAGGTCTAAGACTGATTCTGGTGTCAGACTCCTTAATTTTAGGATGAACTGTTTTCCCCCATTTTCCCAATTTCTTCCAATCTTTTCCTTCCAGAAAAGCCACTTTTATCTTGACCTTTGAACAAGAGTTTCATACATATGTTTAATCCTCATGGCTTGTGAAGTGACAATAAGCCCAATTTTCAGATGAGCTAACTGGGGCATCAATGTAAGGGTACATGTCTGATAAGTGGTGGCAACTAGACTGAATCCAAGAAGGCAGCAGCACCAGAATGTCTGTGGAGGAGGGGATTAGAGGTGGCTCCATGATCGAAGCGGCATAGGGTGGGAATACTAGGAGACTTTTTCAAAACGACTTTGAATATCCTATTATGATGGAAAACCCCAGACGTACATACCAAAGAATGGCAGTGGCAAGCACTGACGGATACTAGGGGAAGTTAGTCCCCAAGGTCCCCTTGAATGCTGTTCCAGTGCTCAGATCTTCTTACTACAAGGTAGAAATTGCTTGGGCACCTCTCTGGCTTTCTAACTCTGGCTTTCTAACTTTGCTTTCTGTGGTAATTGAATTCTCAAGAAGCAGAAGAGCAGAGTAATTAAGAACATAGTCCGGAGCCAGATCTCCTGGGTTCACACACACTGGCTTTGTCACCAGCCTAGTGGCTATGTGACCTTGGGCATGTTATTTACCTTTTATGTGCTGCCAGCTTTCTCATTTTTAAGGGGGGGATAATAAGAGTACCTACCTCTCAGGGATGTGATGATGGTTTGGTAAGTTAATATTTGTAAGGCATTTGGGCAAATGCCTGACACATCACAAATACTATTTGTGTTTATTATTATTTCCATTAAAAGGAAAACATTAGATAAAACAAATCCAACAGAGTTTATTTGAGCAAAGAATGATTCAGTGAATTGGGCAACACTGAGAACCAGAAGAGGTTCAGAGAGCTCTCCTCTGCAATATGGAGAATGAGTATTTACAGACAGAACAGAAAGTAGAGAAATAATCTAATTGGTCACAGCCAGGAGTCTGCCTTATTTAAACATGGTCTAATCAGTTGGCTGCCTGTGATTGGCCAAGATCTGGTTACTGTTACAAAAAAAAAATACTTCTAAGTTAGGTTTCAGTTTATTTATATACTACATTAGGTTCCAGTTCATTAGTAGGGACTCAAACTACAGAGATAACCTCAGGCCAAAGTTAATTTAACACTTCCATTATCCAGTTGCTATAACAGGCACGAGAGAGTATGGGCAGCTGCCCAACACATTAACCTTGGCCTTGCATGGAGCCTGAGAGCGCATTAAAGGTCTGTGTCTTGGGCTCTAAGCTTTGAACTCTATGGAGCTTGCTGTGGCGATAAAATCATTTGTTTTGCAAACATCCAGGAGAAGATTAAGGAAATCAAGGCCCCTTGTTTGGTTGGGGTTGGGGATGGATCCTGATCCCCTCCCCTCCCCTCCCCTCCCCTCCCCTCCCTTCCCTCCCTATCCCCCTTCCCCTCCGCTTCCACCTCCCCTCATTCCTCTCCCCTCTTTTCGCCTTCCCCTCCCTTCCCTTTCCACTACCGCCCTCCTCCCCATCCTCTCTCCCCTCCCCTTCCCCCTCCGCGCGCAGGCCCTCCTTCTCCTTCTCTGCTCCTCTCCTCTCCCTTCCTTTCCTTTCCTTTTATTCTCTCCCCTATACCCCCACCCACTACAACCCCTTTGAGGAGATCTTTGTAGGCTAAGAGTCTTATGCCAAGGAGGAACCATATCTTAGACTTGCTCAGGGGCAGTATAGGTGAGAGTCAGGAGGTCATAAGAACTCAGGCCCCAGAGTCCATTTGTCTCTGCTTGCATTACAACTCTGCTACTTCTCAGTGTGATCTTTGGCAGTTTGCTTAGTCTCCTGTCCCTCAGTTTTCCTAATACATAAATATATGATAGTAATAGCATCTTCCTGAAGGGATAGTTTTGAATAAACGAATTCATACATGTGAAGCATTTAGCACATTGTAAGTGCTGAATGAATGTTAGCTGTTGTTGTGTTCAATACTGGTCCAGTTCTAGTTAGTCAGTGCATCCAGTTTTTGACATTCTTCTAGGGTTCACACAGAGGCCAAATAGTCAAAAGCCTGGGAAGGATGGGGACAGATTGTAGGTAATAAATAGCTTTGGAAATGTCATCAGCTTCACACAACCACACACATGTACTGAAGTTTCTAGGACCCATTTCTATTTTCTTTGTGAATCTAAATTGCCTTTAAATGTATCCAAACTCAAAGCTCCCAAAGGTCTGAGTAGCATCTCCCAGAAAAATCTTGAAAATGTACCTGGCAGATCTCTTAAAAAGGAGGTATCTTGGCATATACTGGGAGTGGAGCCAGCAGCAAGACTCCCTCCTAGATGGGATTTCAGTTAGGTTATGTAGACGCCTCGGGGCTAATGTCAATACCAAAGATTTTTTAAAAAGGCCTGCCTTGGAGAAGAGCAGACCACATCTTTGGTACTTTCGTTGTCTTCTGGGGTGGAGGGACCCTCAGAAATGGTCTAGAAACCTATGATGTGGCATCATGGTGGGCTTCCTGTAGGTGGCATCCCTTTATGTATGGGTAGTAAGACTGGGGATGGAGTGGAAGGAGGTGGGTGGTAAAATATTGTGATTTTCAAAGCCCGGGACCTGTCCCAGGTCTTGCTGCCTCTCCTTTCTGTGTGAAAGCATAATTAGAAATGTCTGCCCAGGTGAATTTTCTCTATGCTCTGTAAACCAGACAACCTTCGAATAAACAGAAACAACCTTGGAAAATGATGCTTTCTCACGCCAAACTTGATAGAACTCACAAACTTCTTGTAGCCACTACCCAAATCTATTGCTATAATAGAATCAAGGTGTTAGGGCCTGGGCAGGGTCCACCTGCCCAGGATGGTTCAAGAATATGGTCAAATGGTTGCTTGATGTCCTTTTTCCATATCCCTCTGCTAGCATCCAGCTAGCAGACTCCAAATGACTTTGGACTCTAGGTCAACCTCATACGTGTGCCAAGTATGCCATTTTCCTCAAAGAACTTTCAGTCAACAGCCTTTTAAAGCTGCCCTCTCATGTGTCTCTGGGTTGATTACCTAAGATGGAAGACACAGATAAGATTCAAAGAGGTAAGGGGAGCCATATGCAACCCGTACTCCTTTATTCCTGATCTCCCATCATGTCTGCTGAAGGGGGCCAGGTGCAGGATGAGGGGGCATGCGTGCTCCCTATAAAAAGCTGTTGAGTACCCCACTCAGAACTGGAACTTGCATTTAGGACTTCCCAGCAAAATGGGCAAGCTGCTGATTCTTGCTGTTGAGTCTTTCCCAGGCAAGCTGAGTTTAGCTTTCAGAGCAGCTGCCTTTTCTCCTCGGTTCACTTGCTCTCTCCTCCCCTATCCTATGCTCCAAAGGCCTGCACTGTCTCCTTTCTTCCTCTCTTGCAGACTTCTTGAGTTCATAACATGGTGGGGAAGTAAGGAAGGGCTCACTGAGCACCTTAGGGCTTCATACAGGAGGGAAAGTGGATAACTCTGGCAGACCAGGACAAGGCCACTTCCCCCACGTGAAATAATAGAAGACTTAGACCAGCCCCCACCCCAATGCCTTTCCAGTGTTCTGTGACTCCTGCTCAGTGCCAGCCACAGAGCAGGAGCTCAAGACACTCACTTAATCAAAGATTAACCAACTACCAGGAGCAATTAGTAGAAAAATGAATGAGGCAGATGTTTGTCTGAATGTAGAACTCTGGGAGCAGGTGTGTAGGAGGGGGTTTGGGAGAGAGGAAGACAAGGCCTTAAAGAGTTAATGCAGCTCCCCCAGGCCTAACTTGTTTCCCAGAGAGAGTGACCAAACTGTAGAAAGGAGCCCAATAAGGGCGATCACTGGGTTGACGCAACAGCACATCCAGGGTGTGGTTAGGTGGCTTGGAAAAGGATACAATTTAAAAGCTTCATCTGAGTTGAAAAGTAGAGTATAGTTGTTCCTGGAAAAGGTGAGTTGTAGCTTTAGGGTGAAGAGACTGCTATGGGAAGGGGCCCTCTGCCTGAAATCTCCCCTTCTTCACCTTCAGTGCCTCCTGTGACCCTCCCCACAAATCTGGCTTATCTTTAGGGTCCGTTCATTCAACACTTACTGATAGAGGGCTGACTGTGTGCTGGGTAGTGGGGACTCAGCAGTGTCAGCACAGCCCTTGCTCTCACAGAGCTCGCAGTCTGATGGGCAGGCCAATAAACAATCATCTTTCAGTGTGGTAAGGGCTGTGATGGGGATAAGCACAAATGTCAAAGGGGCCTAGAGGGAGAGCAGGGAGTTCCAGTCCCAAGGTCAACTCTCTTGGGAAGTCTTCCCTGACCTCTGTATCTCAATTTTATCACTTGTCATATGGCATCACACCTGTATGCTTACAGGTGTGACTTTCCGCCAGGCTGTGAGCTCCTTGAAGGCAGGGACCCTGCCTATGTAGTCTTTTGATCTCTGGCACTCAGTAATTAATATAGATTTATTGAAAGAATAACAACACATCCTCCTGGCTCCTGAGTCACACACCATCATCTGAGCTTCCGGGTAGCCAAGTGAATGCCTACATTAGCCTCCTGCTCCAAACACGTCATACAGTAGCCTATGTTGGGAAAGGGTTTATAGAGCAGCGGGGGCACCAACCCCATCTCCCTTTCCCCATTTACTGGCCAGGGCTGCCGTCGCCTTGCCCCTTCCCAGCCAGAGAAAAGGTGACCCTGGCACCCTCTGACCAAGGTCTCTTTGTCTTTAGGTCTGGTCCTCTTGCTGCAGCTGGGTAAGTATTCCATGAGAGGGTGGGGAGTGCCTGCGTATGAGGAGGACATTAGGGCAGGACACATATCTTACTTCCCTCCCATTCTGGGCACAGAAACCAAAATCATCTGTTACTTCACCAGCTGGAGCCAGTACTGCCCTGGGATTGTCCGCTACATGCCCCAGAATATGGACTCTTGCCTGTGCATACACATCTTCTATGCTTTCGCTGGCATGGCCAACAACCAGATCAAAACCATCGAGTGGGATGATGAGGCCCTCTATGCCGGCATCAATGGCCTTAAGAACTAGTGAGCTCTGAACCTGGGCTTTGTGCTGGGTTAAAGGCTTCTATATGAGGCTTTCACGAGTTCCCCAAGATATACCGACACCAGAATGTTTAGCCTTTGAGTGCTGTCCACAGTCACTCTCATGCCATGCCTCATTAGTAGAACTTTCAGCATCCTTCTCCCCAGGAGAGGCAGGTTGCTGTCATTTTTCTGGATTATTGTCTCCAGGAAATTCAGATACCCAGCATTCTATTCTGTGTGTCACAGGAGGTGCCATTCACAAAGGATTCTTTGTGAATAGTGTCCCCTGAAGTTTGCCATGTTGCTGTATAGCCCCACAACAACCTATCAACTAGCTACCAATTTAACCCAAAATTTAACCTAAAATTGCACCAGCTAAATGCTTAGCATATTTATTGGGTAACTACTGTGTGCAAGGTGCTTTCCATTTATTATTTTATATACCCGCACAATAAACATGATGAAGTGGGCATATTAAAACCATGTTAAGGTTGAGGAAACTGAGTCATAGGGAGATTAAAAGCTTTCCCTAGCCCACAGAACCCAGGAAGGCCAGATCGCCTTATCAGCTAGGTTGATGCTTTTGTCTCATCAGGAATCCAATGGGTAGGTTTTATGGTCAAGCTCACAGGACCATGGTATAAAGGACTTAGATGTGAATCCTGGCTCTGCCACCTCATGCATTGGATGATCTTGGTCAAGTTGCCTAATCTCTCTGAATGCCACTTAAAGGTCAAATGATATTAACAGTTTCTGCTTTGTGGGATTATAAGGGTTAAAAAAGCAATGCATGTAAAGTGCCTGGCATTTAGCAGGCACTCAGTAACTGGTAGACACTTCCACTGCCTGTGTTCCTCGCTGTCTCCTAGAATCAGACTTCCAGCTTTCTGGCCTTGTGTATCCCAGAAGCTCCAGCCAGTCTACCTTCTGTGCTAAGGGGTTGATTTCTGGCTCCCTCATCCTGCCCAGGATGCCCTGTCTTTTCTTCCCGGAAGCTCCCTTCTGCACCAGGGTCCATCAGCCCACTGGCAGAGATGGGAGCAAGAACCTACTCAATGAGTTATTTATAGCGTGCCCTGGAGGACTCATGGCACAAGGGCCCCTTGATCCTACAGAGAGCTTGGCTCCCAACACAAGGCCTTGTGTGGGATGTGAGGATAGAGGGACCGACTGGCAAATGACAGCTCCTTGCAAGTGGAATTTCTTTACACTAGTATCTTTTTATCTCCAGCAACACAGAACTGAAAACCTTGCTCTCTGTTGGTGGCTAGAACTTTGGATCCCAGGGGTAAGACCTTGTATTCAGGACTGAATCATTTCCAGATTAATCAGTCTCTTCCAAACTCCAAGGACTGTAAGTTTCTGTAATGTGAGTGTACCCTGGGCCTCAGACCCCAGTGTAGACCTCTCAGAACTCTTCTCTGACCAGTTCTCCCTGAAGTCTGCTCTTCCTTCATCATAGCTCTTACCATACTATTTTTTTAATTGGACATTTCGTGAATTTATGTTATATTATTTTTAACTTTGTTTTTTAATTGACATATAATAACTGTACATATTTATGGGATACATAGTGATATTTCAACACATATAATGTAGAGTGATCAGATAAGGGTAATTAGCATATCTATTGTTAAATGTTGACAACATTTAATATCCTCTTTTTAGCCATTTGAAACTTTACATTATTGTTAACTATAGTCATCCTATACCACACTGTATTTTAAGTTCCATTTACTTATCTATACCTTCCTGTATATGAGCTCCTCCAGGGCAGAAACTATTTTATTCACTACTCTATCCCAGCAATGTTAATAAATGACAGAATAACTGAATGATAGTAAATGACAATAAATGACAGAATAACTGAATGACAGTAAATGACAATAGATGACAGAATAACTGCATGTATGTCCAGGCAAATAGTAAGGAGGATAGGTGGCAAGACGGAGTATCCAGGGGCTTAGGCTACTGTGATTTATGCTGCAATGACTTATTGACTCCAGATTCTCTGACGTGGTATGGTGGCCACTGCTGAGAACCGCCAGGCCTTCATGCAGTCAGCCATACAGTTTCTGAGGAAGTACAACTTCAATGGGCTGGACATTCATGGGAATATCCAGGCAATCGTGGCAGCCCAACTGACACCCAGCAGCTCTTCACCATCCTGTTGAAGGTGTCTCACCCTCACTGTGTCCAAAGAACACACAATCTGGCCCACAGCAGGCTGGGACACGGCCTCTCTCTGGAGAGGGGTTCTGAGAGAGGCTGAATATATCCTGGCCAGAGGTGTGGATCTCACCCTTTCTGGCTCACAGCCTCATCTCTTTAGTGTAAGAGCAGATCTCTCTTTTGGGGAAAACTGCCACTGGCAGTGAGAAGTATATCTTTGAGCACCAGTGTTGGCTTTAGTGCTCTTATTTCCCCTTCCTCCGTTTTTCTGGTAATTAGATGCAATCACATACAGCTTGCAGGGCTGGAGGCCATTTTTGTCTCTTTAATACAATCTCTCTCCTTTTTTTTTTTTAAATTGTACTCTGGACATTATTTGTTTATTTTAAAATTTAACTGTCAGAGGATGACCAAATTTCCCTCATTTCCAAGTTTTCGAAAGACAGCTTACTGTTGTTCCCAGAGACCAACGACAGCTTTTGGATCAAAGGACTCTAAATCAAGCACTTTGTAGCTTTCTTCATAAGAGCTGTGACCTCGTCACATGCCCACTGGTCCCTCTAGCCTGTGTTCGGTGTCTTCTGTTTCACAGGAAATGCATGAGTCTTTTGAGCAAGAGTCCACCCACAGCAAAAAGCCCAGACTGCTGATTTCTGCTGCTGTGTCAGCTGGCAAAGGTACCATTGGGACTGCCTATCAGATCCCCAAGATGTCAAGGTAAGCAAACCCAGGAGCCCATACTCAGAGCTAAGTGACCCTTAGACCTTCCCCAGGCATTGCCAAATGCACAGATACCAGTGACCAATGCTCAGGTACCCAGGATAGAGAGGACTCTATCTCAGAGGAATGAAATGACCCCAATTCCTGAGGAAGAGGCAGAGGGAGCCAGTATGAATGCTGGCCTTGTTTCTAAGTCTATCTCCAAGGTTCTCGAGGGTAAATGGCCATTGGGAGAAGGTTAATTGAGTCTCAAGCTTTTACAAGTCCTGAAGGTCTGAGTGTAGCCAGATAGTGATCATGGTGTGGGTGCCTTTTATATTCCAGGTGCTCTTGAGATGAAGATAAGGGAGAATGGAATAAAGAATAATAATGCATAAGGGAATCCTTATTGCATAGTAGCAAACAGCAGATTTGGCTGTTTGGCAAATCTGCAATCAGCCGATTTGGGACTAGGAGCATTAGGGGTAGTGGGTTAGAAAGAGTGATTTCCCTTGGGTCATTTATTTCCTCCTGTTCCCTCTCCCTACTACCTAAGGTACGTGGACTTCATCAGTGTGATGACCTGTGACCTAAGGGGCTCCTGGGAGGGCTTCATAGGAGAGGACACTCCCGTTTGCAGGATCTAATGACTAGGGAGACTACAAATACTTTAATATGGTGAGTGAGGAAGCCAGCCCTAACGGACATCTTCAAAGCCTGTCACTGGATCCCCGGCCCCAGACTGCAAAGGAGGCCAAGAAACTTGATGGACAGCTCATGTTCTCTACCTCCCTGTCCCTATGACTGATTGTATTCATTCATCTTTCACAAAAAAGGAAGCAGAATAGTGGCTTGGGATAATCCCAAACATTGGGGAATTCAAAAAAATACATTTTCCATTTATGCTAGGAGCACATTTCATGATCCATCTTCTTCCCACTCTTCCTTGCCTCCCTTCCAGCCTCTTTCTTCCTAATTTGTGTGGTTTAGGCAGCTATAATAATTAGTCTGCTTAATGATAAGTAGGTGACTAAATGGGCTAGATGTCATTTCAGTGGAGATTTCAACCAAGGATTTAAAAATTGACATGGGAAAATCTCCCAGTCGATGCTCCATGCACAAATAACTCTCAGCATTGTAGTAAGCCCGTTGGGAAGACAAGTGGATGCACAGCTGAACACTAGTCATGCCCCAAATGAACTCCAGTATAAAGAAAAAGAGGACCTCTGGCTAACACTGGGCGCTGCTACTAAAGCAATGGACCGCTTGACCCTTTGGTCAATCCATTCTTGAAGGGGCAGCGTTCCTTTCCTTTCTACAAGGTTGAACTGTGGAAGGAGTTTGGCTGGATGCTGTACCCAGAGACACTAGGGAATTGGGCAGAAAACCTAGACTATTCTAAGGCCTCTGGGTACATGCTCAGCTGCTTTCTAATGACACCTTCCTCATCTTGCCTCCAGGATTATGCAGTGAACTCCTGGAAGAGCCCAGGTGTCCCTGCTGAGAAGCTGATAGTGGTCTTTGGGGCTTATGCTCATACCTTCACTCTCACTAATCCTGCAAATCATGGCCTGGATGCTCCCACTTCTGGCCCTGGGACTGCTGGGCCCCATACACAGGAGGCTGAGACCCTTGCCTACTTGGAGGCAATGTCCTCAGAGGGCCTAGAGGACCCACTCTCTCTGTTCTCAAGGTTGAAGATATGTCAATGGAGAGAGAGTCTATACTCTGATTTCCAGTAGAGGGTACTCTGTTGCTGACTGCTCTGAATATATGTGGCAATGAGAGAAGGGAAGAGTGAAAAGATGATAAAACATCTTAAATGTTAACCTTTTAAAGTAAATATGCATCTTTAATACTAGAACTAGCTAATGCTTACTGAGTGCAAATAGAGAGCCAGGTTGTGCTCCAAGTGATTTTTATATATAATCTCATTTAACAAACAATAAGGTACTGCCTTCTCCTCATCTTATTCAAGAGGTCACCGAGGCACATAGAGGTTAAGCAATTTGCTCAAGGTCACAGAATCAGTAAGTGGCAGAGCTGGGATTCAAACTTAAGTTGTGCAGCTCCAGAATCTCAGACCTTACCCATTATGCTACACTGTCCTGTTATTAGCTCTTTTGAGACACAACCCTTTCAAACAAAAGGAACAGTCAAATTCATTTCAAAAGGAAACCAGGACACGAGGCACAAAGAAGCTGCTTGTCCATTGTTACACATGAGGTTATTGGCAGACAAAGGACTGAATTCATGTGTCATCTCTCTAGCTAGTGCAGTCCACTGTCCCATGAGACAAAAGCAGGGCGGGGACCTGGGTGACACTGGAACCAGGTTCTGTTATTTCCAGCAAAGGGGAATGGACTGGGATGTGGATCTTAGAAAAGAAATGGAGGGAGGACAGAGAAGTGGCCTGAGAATAGCAGGGCCCCTCTGAGTTATGACTGCTCCTTCTGTACCTGCCCCAGTTCTGCTGCTTCCTGAAAGGAGCCACCGAGGTGTGGAATGACCCCCAGGAGGTGCCTTATACCTACAAGGGGAACCAGTGGCTGGGGTATGACAACTCCAAGAGCTTCACCCTCAAGGTAGGACCCTCCACACTCTTCCTAATGCATGGTTGGGGAGAGGTGCAGGACCTGCCCTCCAGCTGCCCTTGAATTGCAATCCCAGGAGACCTGAGGGAGGTGAGAAGAGACACGGGGAGGTTGTGAAGTTTCAGGGTGAGCCAGTGACCCAGTCACAGAGCCTGGCAGTTGGAGCAACCCCTTCAGCTCCTTTTCCTTCCTTCCCTTGGCTCCTGCAGTTTCTCCTTTCCCCCACCCCTGGAGACTCTCCTTTGGCCCTTCCCCTGCTCTTCTCTGGTCCTCATGCAGCTCTCTTTGATTCGTGCTTCCTGACACAGGTGTTCTTCCCCACTCCAAAGATAAAGTGTAGACCATAGAGTTTTTTCCTCTCCTTTGCCTGTCTCCTGCTCATGGCAAATTCACACAGGCTGAGCCCAAATCAGGAGGTGATAGTGGCTCTGGTCTGTGAGGTTATGCTCAGGTCTAGGGAGGACATGACTGCTGTTTATCAATCCCAGGCCCTTCACCCTATACCTTCCATCTAGAGCCCTCTCGCTTTGCCCAGGCACTTTGCTGTGTGAAGGGCCTATATCTCTATAGCCCTCAACCCACCCAAACTCCAGCTGTGAGATGCCTTCTCAGAAGGTGGTTGGTGACAACAAAGGGCAGGAGGAAAGAGCTGCTTGGGGCCAAGACTTATCCTCCATGACTTAGTCCTACAGTTCTTCTGTACATACAAATATGTTAATGAATTCCTCAAAGTTGTCTCCTCAAAACCCACCGCCAGTCTCTCCTCTCCATGACTAGATCATGGTCCTCCTGCCATCCTGCTAGAGTTGCTCCCTGCATTTGTGCAAGGACACCCCAGAGTCCCCCTGGTTCTCTCCCACTGGCTTAGTGGCTGCTAAAGAACAGATTTGGAGGGGCCATGGTCTGGGCCATTGACCTGGATGATTTCACGGGCACTTTCTGTGGACCAGGCAAATACCCTCTCATGAATGCACTCGAATCCGCGCTTGGTGTCTCCACCCCGTAAGCAGTGATGACCTACCAGCCAAGAGATAACAAACTAGACATGGTTAAGAAGAAGAGAAAACCAGAGCTCCTCCCAGCCTCACCTCAAACAAGGCCTCCTCCAGATCTTCCAGCTGTCCTAGTGTGTCCTGTTGGAACTGGCATTTAGAACCCAGAAAGCAAGACCCAGCAGACTTACTAGCAGGCAGGCCATGAGTGACACTCCTGGCAAGTAAAAGGGGACCCATCAATATTCTGGAGGATTCTCCTCTGTAGGGCTACTCAGGGAAGCTTCTATAAAGCGAACTGAACACGCTGGAGCCTGGGTAGGGAAGGGAACACAAACACTGTATTCCCTGTCACTGCTGCTCAGCTCCAGCTTTTATGAACTTTGTGGGTCAGAGTTAAAAAAATAATAATAATAAAGCAGGGATTAAAAACTTACAAGATGAGGAAAGAAATGAAAGAAGGAGAACTCTAAAGGGGCTCAGCTAGCATCTTTCCTGAAGTGGGGAGCAGAGCTACAGATGGTCTCAACACGATTCTATCCCAGCCCCGAGAACGGGGCAAGTCCAGGAAGCAAGAGGGGCTGGGAAACTGCAGAGAAAGATACTGCTGATGACTGGATCTTTACTCCGTGTCAAGCCTGCTGGTTCTTTAGATTTCGTGTAATTCTCATAGGCACTCTTGGTGCCAGGTATATTAGTTTACTCACAAATAAAAGCTAATAATTATATAATATTATAATAATATATATTTACATATATAATATATATTTATATACTATATATGCCTTATATATATAACATAATATATAATACATATAATAATAAAAACTAATAATTACTCACAAATAAAAGCAATGTGCATGCTATATGACTCACTATGTTATATAGCATGCACATTGGAAAATGCTTTATCTAATAATTCTAAGACAGAATACAATTATGCCATCATTTCAGAGAGGAAATTGAGGCTCAGAGAAGTGTTAATGAATTTCTCATGGTCACATAGCTCATGGCAGAGCTGGGCTATGAACTTGGGTATCCTCGATTCAGGCTCAGAGCATTAAACCACTGGTTTAGGTAGGATGTGCACTGAGAGAAACCCACAGTGACCTTACAGACATGACACTCATCCTGGGAAAGGAGTCCTCTCCTGAGTTTATGGGGACCATTTTCCTTCTCTCTTCAGGTTGCAGAGTACCCACCTCTACCCTGGGAACCAGCTTGACTCCCATCGTCACTGTAGCACCTGGGATTGGCAGCACTGGTGGCAGTGGATTCTGTACTGGGAAGTCCAGCGGTCTGTATCCTAGCCCCACCAGCAAGCGTGCCTTCTACAATGTGTGGATGAGCACACCTATGAGGAGGCTTGTCAGGAAGGCCTGGTCTTTGATACCAGCTGCTCTTGCTGTAACTGGGCATAAGCTATTCACCTGTTGCGTCCCTTGGAGATTGTAAGACAAAAGGATGATTAAAGGGAAATTTTGCATGTGAATGTCAAGTTGTCTGTTTTGATTTGTAAATCTGTGTGATACTATCCTGCAAGTAAAAGATAGCCTACTGCCACCTCCTAATCCCCATTGTCCACGAGCTCCCAGGAGATGCCCAAACATTGAGGCTGAGAGAGAAGGAGGAACAGGTACCTGGAACCTCTCTGAGCATCTCTATGGGAAGTTCTGGTACTCTGGGCCCCTCCTGAAGGAGGATGAGAGAGGAAATAGGCTCTGAGGAACAAGAGAAAATAAGGCCTCATTCTTTCTCACAAATTCGCCTCCAAAGGGTCTTGCAGAAGGACCCAGAAGAGTGGCTGGACTTGGAATATTTAATTTACAGGATCCACCCTCTTCAGGAGCTCTACCTTCACGAAGTTTACTCATTTCCCACCTCCATGGCAAACAACCCTAAGAAAGCCTGTGTTTTAAGGACACAGCATGATGGGCCAACCACGGGCTAGTTTACACACACCACTTCCACACCTACGAGGTTAGGAAAAAAGACCATTGCTGACGATTTCAAGATTACCTCATTTTCAAAACAAATTCATTTATTATCATTTTATTGCCACACCATGCTCCAGTGTACCCTTCGATACCCTTAGGGAAGGCAACAAGAAAGCTAGAAGGAAAACCACATTACAGCAGGAGTCAGAGGTCCTCTTTCTCCCACCACCTCCAGAGCCTGGCCTTGGCTTTTTCCCCAGTTGCCATGCTGCAGAAGGCAGGAAGAATGCAGCTCACCAAGCAAGGGAGACACCTCTTTGTCCAGCCACCTTAACTGCTTTACTGGTGAATAGGAAGGGAGTCTGTGGATTATACCATTTTGACAAAACTGTCATAATCAGTAAGCAGAATCCCCAGAAGTTTATTTCGTCCCTCCCATCTGGCTAGCTGGAGTATGAGCAGGATGTCTATACAACTCCGTTTTCTCAGGAAAGTCCTGGTTAACTATAGTTCCAGTGTCTAATTCATTTAGCAATTGTGTGGGTTTAAAATTTTTATTATAAAGTATTTTTATTACTATTGTATTGAAGTTATAGGACATGAATTTATACACCCCCACTTTATACTACTTTTTGCTGTGTTTCATAAACAGAATTCTTTAATATGTGGTTAAATCTGAACATTTACCAGAGATAACCGCTCTCCTTTCCTGGCCCTTTTCTGACAAACACACACAGCCCCTTTTCAATGACTACTTGCTGGGTGCTTGCTAATAAACTGATGTGTGCTAGGACGGAAGTAGCCAGAGATAGCTATCGCCTCTGGTCTCCAGGACTGGTGAAGGACTGCTGCTCCTGCTAGCCCCTTAGTGGACCAGCTAGTTGTGCCATGGCCTGTGAGATGCATAAAGCCATCAGGCCACCTGTCGGTAGGATCAGTGGGTAATCATAGGTTAAGGGTATGCAGAATATAAACAGGGAAATATTAATAGAAACCAAGAAGACATTCCACTGAGTTTGTAGACAGTAGTCTGAATGCTCTTCTTACAAAGACTTTATCATCTATTGTGTAGTATAAATCTACAATCACTTATTTATTTTGTTGTTTGGTAACACTTTTTATTTTGCAGATAAATGCTTTTGTCAGCAATGAGCTTTAAAGTTCAAATGTCTACATAATAAAAAATTAAGTAATGAATTTCCATTTTCCAAGAAAGTTGATGGTGATTGTATAACTTATGTATAACTTCGCAAGACGTTGGTTGACATTTACCAACCACCATGGGGTTGTTTGATGTAGCATGAAAACCAAAACACATAAATCTGCTGAACAAGCATCAGCATCTACTTCAAATGAAATCATTATTTTAAGAGGATTTTGCCTAAAGATGACGATTTCACGAAAGTAGTTGCCAAAGGTATTATTTATATCACTAGGTGCCATGGTCTGAATGTTTGTGTCCCCACCCAAATTCGTTGAAATCCTAACCCCCGGGTGATAGGATTGGGAAATGAGGCCTATGGGAGGTGCTTAGAATTGGGGGCCTTATAAAGAGAACCCAGGGAGCTAGCAAACCTCTTCCACCATGTAAGGACACAGCTAGAAGTTTTCATCTATAAACCAGAAAGTGGGCCCTCACCAGACACCGAATCTGCCCACTCCTTCATCTTGGATTCCTAATCTCCAGAACTGGGGAAAATAAACGTCTGTTATTTACAAGCTACCCAGTTTATTGCATGTTGTTACAGCAGCCTGTGTGGACTAAGACACTAAGTGAAACACAAATTTTCATTTAGGTAGATCAAATGACTGATGCTTCAAGTTAACCTTTCTCTTTTTCTAGTCCAAGTTTTGTATGTGTGTGTGTACATATATAAAAGTCAAGTTCTACTTGCAGAACAACTTTCCAAGGTTAACATCAATGTCATCAGTTATTCCAAATAGAAAATCAGATAAGATAGTTATTCAAATAATGATGGGATGGTTGCATTTTCTTCACATAGCTTATGAAACAAAAGTAAAGCTTTTCTGGTGGTTCATTTCATTAAAGGGGAGACATCTGATGCTATCATAAATGCTATTTTAAATTGAGTTAAATAGCTCAACACCAAAATTAATTATTTTGTGGTGATATGAATTCAAATATTGATGGAATATAACATTATGTGAAAACAATGTTCCTTCTAAATGTCTTAGTACTTTTATGCTGCTATAGCAGAATATTACAAATTGGGTAATTTGTAGAAAACAAATATTTATTTCTCACATTTCTGGAGGCTGGAAAGTCTAAGATCAAGGTGACTAATGACAAAAAGAGAACGTGAATTTAATTTCTTGCAAATCTGACATACTTTGCATATATTTCATGGTCATTCGAGTGGATCTGGACAAGGGTTTCTCGATTCCCCTGTGATCCTTGCGGGTTGCACTTTAGCTCTTTGTATGTGTGTCTGGATTATCTTCATCTTGAGAATCCCCACATCCTGATGGCTCCTTATCTTATTCCCCTGGCTAGTCTGGGGAGGAAGATCAGCTGGAGTTATCCTCGGTATTCCCCCAGTCCTCTCTCCAACCTCCTTCCTGCCGCTTTACTTATTTAACAACAGTACTCTGAGCAAGCCCTGTCCAGAGCAGTCTGTGAACATGGGAATCTTCATAATGACCCTATGCGGTAGTCATGGTTCTTACATGACCACTTTACAGGTAAGGAAACTGACAGAGACACTAAGAGATTTGACCAAGGTCAAACAGCTCGAAAATGCATTTCGAAGCTGGCTGTCTGGCTTCGGTGTCCAAGACCTTAGAGCACATTCTGCTGTTTTTGGCCCTACTGCAACTGGAGGCCACCTCTCATCCCTGCCCAGGCTCCAGCGTTTGGACCTTAGGACCGAGGGATAGTTGGGTGGAGCAGGTCAGGTGGCACCACCTCAAGTTTCAGGATTCCCTCTCTTCAAAGCACCCCATCCCTGACGCCGCCTCTGGCTGCCTGGCCGCCCCCGCTGCGCCCCCGGCCCTCTCTACTGACGGATGGAGCATTGCCGCCAAGTGGTGACCCACTGGTGAGTGCCGGGTGGCCCAGGGCAAGGCGGATCGGGAGCCACCTCACACCCACACAGCCTGCCTGAAGGATTCGACAAGGTGAGGGTCGCCCCGCGCGGGGCCGCAACAGCCACCGTGGCTCCCTTCCTCCCGTGTATGACTGGACCCCAGCCAGAAAGAACCCAACCTGAGTGCCCAGCGAGCGCCTGTGCTTAGCCGCTCCGACCCCTCGCCAGGGGATGTCCGGTTGCAGTAGCGCTGAGCTGAGGTGACCGCGCGGGGGCGCCAAAATCTCCACTTAGGGCGATAAAGGGAAGTCGGCCTCCCTCTTGCTGGCACTGAAGGAACCGGCAGGGTGCGACAAGGTGGGGCGGGCCCTCATCCATGTCTCTAGGAGTAAGGCACAGTCTGGAAGTAGCTGCGAGTCTGAAGTGTCCAAGATCAAGTCCTCCTGCAATTCACAATTCGTATGGCTATCTGCACCTTTCATTTACCCACTGGCCGGGTGACTCAAAGCTAAAGGTTGCCGACGTTTTTCAAAATCTCTGGAGGGGCATTCAACAGTTTTTAGGTGGCCCGAACTACGGAGGAACACAAAGGCTGGCCAGAATCCAAGTGAAATACTACACAGGATCCCCCAAGGCACGAAGCTGGCTGGAGAGAGCTGGAGGGAGCGCTCCACCTGCCCTGGGAAACTTACCAGGGAAGTGCAGACCTTCCGTGGCGCTGGCAACCGCGTGGCCCTGAGTCCTAAGACCACTTGACACCGGCCGCTAGGGTTCCCTTCCCTCCACTGCCTGGTCAGCGGCAGAAGCGGGGCGGTCACCACCGTCTCCAGCAAAAAGGGGCAGATGAGCGACACCTGGAGTCTTTAAATCTCCTGACTGAGAAGCCCTATTTGTCCAGATCAGAGGTGGGCAAGTCTGTGGGACCAGGTGCCCAGACTTGCCCACTGTCCCCCACCCCCACCCCTATGACGCTTGCTTCACTCTTGTTCTATCTCTAGTTCCTCACTCCATCACTCCGTTTTTGTTTTTTGTTGTTGTTTTTTGTTTTGTTTTGTTTTGTTGATCGCTATCAGAGTAATCCTTTGGGTGTGACAAGTTCCATCAGCTGCAGCAGCGTTTCACAGAATGTTTCAAGTAACACTAGTTTTTTGCAAGCTAGTAACACACTCAACCTGTTTTTTGGGAAATGCTATCCTATACTCATGCTATGTGTGGGCCACAAATTTGGTTTTATATTTCTGGTAGTCCATGAAAAATTAGAAATAAAATTAATTACACGATTTATAATGTGCAGAAAATCAGAGCAAACAAACAAGGCAACTATTTTAGATTGAAAGACCAGAAATATATTTCCCTCCAGGATTCTTATTGCCAAAACACTGCATAATCCAAGGATCAACATCCTCACAGTAAACACAAAGGTCTATTTTTACATATGAATGCTCCCTATAGCATCCCTTAAAAGAAAGGGAGGGTGTAAGTCCAAAACACCATCAATCTTTCAC